AGCCAAGTGGCCAGGCTCTGTCCATGACTCACAAATATTCCGTGAATGTACACTGAGCACAAAATTTGGACATGGTGAGTTGAAAATACTTTAAAATATATAAAGACCAATTGCTTCAGGGACATTTGAACTGAAGTGTATCCTTCTGTCTTAGGAGAGTTCACTGGCTACTTGCTTGGTAATAGGGGGTATCCATGTTTACCCTATTTGCTTACCCCTTACCCTGACCCTGAACCGGGCCCACAGCAGCGATATAATCTGGCTAATTGCAGGACAAGAGCCAGAATTGAAATGACTATCGGAGTGCTTAAGGCCCGGTTCCAGTGCCTGCAAAGACTCAGGGTCACCCCAGAAAGGGCATGTGACATTATTGTGGCATGTGTGATTCTTCACAACATTGCCACAATTAGAGGAGAACACTGTCCTTCTGAACCAAACATCAGCAGTGATCCAAACCATGAACATCCTGACCCTCCCACGGACATACAAGATGGAAGCGCAGTCAGAGACACCATATGTCACAATCATTTCTTTTGACCCATCACCTCAACATGTTGAAAGAAGAATAAACAGATTTTTTGTTCAACTGGCTTTATTGGTCGCCTGTATTTCCTGTACACAAAGTATTAAAAGATGTAAACCTCATAAAGTGTCTCTGTTGCTTCCTCCTCTGTAACAGCTGTCAATGTTTCTTCATTATTTTCCTGTAGTAAAGAAATAAACAACATTGCTGTTCTACTGTAAACTCATATAATCTGTGGAGTATTACTCACAACTGCATGTTGGTCTGGCTCAACAGGAGGGTGCACCAGATGCAGTACACCATCACCATCAACTGATAGAATATGAGGTTCATACAGGTCACTTATAACTTACAAGGGACCAAATGGCAATTAACAAACATACCAGTCACCTTACACTTCATTGTCATTATGCTCTCAAAGACAACCAAGACTGGGGGAAGGCAAAATCAGTAGGAAAATAACTTCACTACAGAATAATCCATTATGGTAAAGAGTTTATCAAATGAATGAGTAGCACTGCAAAGGTGACTGTGAAGAAAGGATGTATGCACATCATGTATTATTTTGAATTTACCCCCTATGTAGGCACTTGTGTCTTGCAGGGTTATTGACTCAGAGGATGTCCCCGCAGAGATGCCTTCAGCCACAGGGCGCCCACTGTTTTGGCTGAGGGCCAACTGCTCAGCCTCTGTGAGTGGTGGTGGTGGAGGACCCCACCTGTTTTTCGGGCCTCCGCTTTTTTTCTGTTGGCTATAACGGGCCACATTTGAGCATACAGAGTAAGCAAATATGTACTTGTAATGTGCTCAGATAATTTCAATAAGTGCTTACAGACAGAAAATTAATGTAACCTCTAACTGCAATTGATTTACATGGGACAAACAGACCAAGCACTATGGCTCATAATACACCTTACCTGTTTGGACTATATTTTTATATTTCATTTTTACTTGCTGCCAGGCATGTTTGGGGCCTGTTGGGTTGCACCTGCGCTCACATCACGTCACAAAATAAAATGTATAAAATAAAAAATAAAATAACATATGATAAAATAACGTGTTAAATGGGTGGAAATCCCTCGATCAATGTTTATATTAACACTCACGCATTGACTCTGTCGGCTATGTTTTGCCATGCATGCTCACTTTCTTTTGCAGCTGTGGCTGTGTTACTTTTTTCCGCGGAATTTGCATGTTATCGGCATATGCTGCCATCAGAATTTCGGCCTCAAGCGCTGTGAAATACATTGACCGCGCCTTCTTTCCCTCCGTCTCCATGGTGACTCGCTTAATCTGTGCTCCGCTTATCAGGGCTTTATGTATCCTCGTCCGCGCGCTTCACTTGGGGTTAAAGCAACTCCGCGTTGACTGAACTAATTGTTATCAGCCTTTCTGAAACCGAATATTACGAGTTGGACAGTTCGGGGTTACTCAACCGTGAGTGTCGTTTTTCACTCTGAGTTTTCCAAACCGGCTTCCTGAAACAGGGCCCTGAAGTGAAGTTTTGGTTATGATTGTTGTGTCTCTGTTTGTGTCCCAGGTCTTAGTTTGTTATCTAGCCTCAGGTTTTCTGTTATCATCCCTCCTCTGTGTCCCCGCCCTCTTCCTGTGCTAGTATCTCTCTGTGAAGTCATTCTTGTCTCCATGTTGATTGGCCTGTTCCCCAGTCGTGTCTCTGTTTCTCTCACTAGTTCTCTCTTGTCTCTTGTCCTGTGTGCATCTTGTTCGGTTTTGCTTCCCAGTCTCATTAGTTAGATTATGTTCAGCTGTGTTCGCATCTATGGCCTTTTGCCTCGTTCGCCCTAGTGTATGTTTATTGTCTGCATTTTTCCTTGTGTTCTTTGTTGTGTTGCGGAGTAACGGAGTACATGTACCAGTGTTGCATATTTAAAATACAAAATATGAGTAACTGTATTCCGTTACAGTTTCCCTTGAAGAAAGTGATATTCAGAGTACAGTTGCTTTGTTGAAATAAATGGATAACATGGCGGCCTTTTCCTGTTTTATATGTTATGCTATGCCCTCTCTATTTTTTGGTAATTCCACGCCGGTGTAAACCCAAACAAAAGACGTATTAGCAGGCTCTAATCCCTGGGTCTCAATCTTGCGGCCCGCATAATGAAGTGATGAAATATTTGTAACAATTATTATTAAAAAATGATTTAATATGAAGGCATAGCTCTAAAGAATGCAGCCTCATGGGCAGTGTACTCCGTGCTGCAGGGAGAATGGACTGCCATTAGTGGTGTGCGATACTACATATTTTGGTATCGATCCGAGACCAAGTAAATATGGGCCAGTATTGCTGATATCGAAAATAAGGTGGATGCTCTTTGAATTGCTAAATCTCAATAAATTTTCATGACCTCAAGTGTTTTTTGTGATGTTGCGTTTTTTTTATTATTAAATAGTTAAAACCCAGGACTGTGCTCTGCTTGTGTTGTTGTTTTTGGTGGTAAAGTGTACGGCTGGCAGTGGGAGAACTGCAGACATTGAATGTAGTGTTACAGCAACCGTGTGATTATTGTAAGGGTGGGACCTCCCAAGCTGGAGACAGAGGTCGAGGTGTGTGGTGGTCCTACCACGCCCGAGGGTGGCATGCTGAGGTGAGGGCTCGGGGAACCACCTCGTCACCAGCGCCGCTTGATGCGTGCGTGATCGCCAGAGTGGACACTTCCCTGGGTCGGAGCATGGGGCGCCGATCGTTCGGGTCACTTCTCTCGCCTGTTTGCGGAGTGGAGAGTAGGTTTGGTCGGGGCTCACAGCCTTGGTGGTTTATAGTTACCAATTTTTATTTATTTATTTCCTTTTTTTTTTTCTTTTAGAAAGATCTTACATAAAAAGTGTGCAAAAAACAGTAAAAAATTAAAACAAACAAGTACTGTTGAGAAACTATAATACAGAAATTACAATTAAAATTCTCAACAACAAAAATAACAACTGGTGAAAATATAAATAATATGTAAACAACTTAACAACCCCCAAAGCGTCTTAAGTCACGTCACGTCACGGCGCAACATCTAAACACAAGAGGGGGGAGGGGGAGCAAAGTGTGCCTGCTGTGCGCTGACACAGGAGCAGCGAGTCCAGTGACCCGGCTGTTTCGTCTTTGCTGGAACCGCAGCATAGCAAACAACAGAGGAACTTTACCCTCCTGTTATGTTGGTGTCCAGGAACACCAATTATGTTCCTGGGTCAATTTGACCCGGGACATGTTTACTCGTCTAAAAGTGTCAGAAACACTGGCATTGATTATTTTACAATTTTCTTGTATAATTTTAATTTTTTTTCGTTTTCTGTAGTTATGCAGATGGGGATAGGTTAATTGGATAATCCAAATTGCCATTAGGTGTGAATGTGTGAGTGAATGTGAGTGCGAATGGTTGTCTGTCTCTGTGTGTTGGCCCTGCGACAAACTGCCGACCTGTCCAGGGTCTACCCCGCCTCTCGCCCTACGACAGCTGGGATAGGCTCCAGCGCCCCCTGCGACCCTGAAAAGGATAAGCGGAAGTGAATGGATGGATGGATGGATGGAAGATAATTAATTAACATGCATGACTGAATAACTGAGCTGCTGGAATACACGGGCTGAGAGATCAGACTGGGAATTTGAGCTTGTGATGTGGAGTAGCTGAGAGAGGCAAGTATAAACTGATTTGAAATATACTGTGCCTGGATTTATTGTTAACTGGAGAAAATTCCAGGCACACTTAGATGACTGTTAAATAGCGAGAGAAAAAAGAATGACAGCCAGAGACAACTGAAATTGGATTTTACCCTGGCAATACTCTTCTGCAAACATTAAAGACACATGGAAGCCCAGGGATGGATGAATTTGTTTGCGCTGCTGTACGTGGCATGAATGCTGATTGGCCTGGAGAAGGCCAGGAAAAGGTCATTGGACTAGACCAGTGATAACACAAACAGCTTGACAGTGTGGGAAAGTGGAAGTGATAAAGCTTAGATTTAGTCAGCAGCGCCTGGCAGTGGACAGATGTGAGGCCATAGATCTTCCTTACTGAACTTGTGCATAAGTTTCATTTTGATGTTAATTTACGAGCTAAAAAATGATCGTATACTTTAAAAACAACTTGGTAACTTTAGTCACATGAAATCTTAAACAGTTTAACAGTTTGTTTTCTATCAGGAAATAGAAAAACGTATTACTGACAAAGAGCCATTTCCTGCTTTGTGCACATGAGGTGCACATGTGTGAGCATGACGTATGTGTGTTTTTTTTTCACCACAAGCTCACCTTTTGTTAAACAAAGAAAATGCATTTATTCCTGTTTCATGCAAATGTTTTCACATGTTTCTGAGGGGCTTTGCAAATATAAATACCATGAAATGTTCCATTTGTGTGTTCAAGCACACTCGAGGTTTTTATGCAATCAAATGAAAGTGTTGGTCTGTGGTCCTTTGCATGATGTCACTTCCTCAGAGTTTCTTCCTGTCTGAAAGCAGACAGAAGGCTGGACAAGAACAGTACAGCATAGCACCATATATACAAGGGTTAGTACTGCAGAACTGTTAAAGTATAGTTTAAACTCTGTAAGTGCAGCTTCTGCTCAGCTGTCTCAGTCCTCTCACGATGTCCTCAGATATTTATGCTGAACCAGATCTATCAAAGAAGGTGAGATACAGCAGAAAGGAGGACGGAGTAGAGTGGGAGCAGAGGGAGGTGGATACCTACGAGAGTACAGATGAGATCAGAGATAGTTATGATCATTTTCAGTCGCAGGAAGGAGGTAAGTCAATTATACAAATAAATGTACTTCCAGTTTGTTACAGTCAGCTTTTAATGCCAAATAACTGCAGCTCATCAAACATCTGTTTTCTCCATTTGCTGTATGAACCTTTGTAGTTTACGTTTTTTTCCCACGTTGGTTTGTAGAGCTCTGTGAACAGCAAATTGATTCAGGCACTTTAGTTACAGTGCAGATGTTATATTTCCTTGTTTTTTGGCAACCGACCCTTTTATGAAGCTAAGTTGATACAACCACAACCACAGGTCTATTAAACACAGAGTGACAGGAAATAAGCACAGACCAACATCCACACTGCTTTCTAACAGGACCACAGACTCTGAATCCTCCTTCAGTCCTGAAGGGCTCTTTCAGATGTGCTACACTGGGTCTAAGAGTGCTGTGCCTCCTGATGTTAGCTGGGATCATCATCCTGTCCATATGCTGTAAGATAAGATACAACCTCTGAACTTCTCCTGCAAATGAATGTATGACTGATACTGAATCCCAGCAGCCAACAAACATGCAGCTTCACAACCAGAACGTGTCCTTCTGCCACAGCAAATACAGGAAGTACCTGATCACATGGAAACACCTTTGATATGAGGAAGTGTTGAAGCCTCAGAGCAGCTTTGACTGAATGTAAAAAGACATATTTTCAGTGAGAACAGGCACATGTCACATGAGTCAGAATCTATTCTTTCAAAGCATGTAGGGCTTTGGAGTTGACGTCACGCCGCAATGCATTGTGGGAGCGCGGCACCATTTTCGGGGTCTACGAATCAAAACAAACACACTGTTGGAACGACGATTACAAGATGCTTAAAAGCAGCTCAAAAGAGAACGGACTGTATAGAGACCGATTGCGTCCAGAGGCGAAGCAGCGGTACTTGCAGAAAAGAGCCTGCATTGGAAATGTGGACCCGTATGAAACACTGGAGACCAACCGCTACTGACGTAGCCTGACATAGTTCATACCTTATCTGTGGAGTCAGCGCGTACAAGTCGTCATTCAAACAAAGGTAAGTCAGCTCGAGTACTGCGAGTGAAATGCGTTTGATTTCCCTGCAAACATTCACATTAGTGCAGCATAAATTCATTCATGAGGGGAAATTACAGTGAGAACATGTGGAGGCTGTTAGAGGGATAACATAGTGAGTTCAGTGCATTGATGAGACATTGTCCTGAAGGATTTAGTTATTCTTTATGGTTAAAGAAATTGCAATGATTTATTCATATTTATTATAAATAATCCTAATTATACATCTTGCTTCCATATTTGTATCTTGTGTCACTAAAATACATTTTATTTTAGTTTTATACATTGATCAATGACCTGCAGAATCTCATATCATATTAAGTGATTCATAACTGTCAATTTATGCTTTCTCCATCTCTAAAGTGATGACATCCTTGCAATTACATACTTTAGGTTCATTTTCTGCAGGCAGGTTTCTGACAGAACAGGCAGATTTACACTATAACCTGCAGCGATGGACACATAAAGAAATGAAAAATGACATGTATGTGCTAACTTTCTAAACACTTTGTTACATTTATGATAAAGTAGATTAAACACATTTGTGTCGGCCTTGGCTCATAGTTCTTGTCTTTAAATGAACTTTGTCTGTGTGTGTTTCAGGTCCTGCACTCTCAAAGACTGAATGAACCAGCATTGCAGCCATGGGTCACTGTGAGCATCACAGGGAATGTTGAAGCCGCCCACTGCACCTGTAAGGCCGGAGTCACGGAGACCTGCACCCACGTCACTGCTCTTCTGTTTAATGTAGAAGCAACAGTGTTGATCTGTGGCACAAGGACTGTTACAGATGAACCTGCATACTGGGTTTTGCTGGGTAATGTGACCAAGATACAGCCAGAGGTTGGCCATAAGGTAGACTTCTCCCCTTCAGCTGCCCAAAAAAGGCTCTTGATCAAAACATAAACAGACCATCTGTAGTGACGGGGAAAAGGAGCCTCAAAACAGAAAAATCCCACCTGCTGCTGTGGAGGGGCGTCACTGCTATAATGCCATCATGTTTTATCTAGGGGTCTAGATTATGCCTGTAGTGCACTGCTGTGTAAATAATTTGCATTTACTGAATATGTACTGACTGAGTCCCGCTGTTCAAAAGTTGAATAAAGAAACAAACTAATTTTTGCCTCTTTTTTTTTTTTTAAATTAAAACCACTTTATAGAACATCACATTACATGTAGAATCCATGTCATTTACAGTTTACAAATGACAAAATGTTTACACAAAATCATGACAGTGTTTACATGATATCACCCACTACTAACATTACTTTATTTACTGTATCTTTTGAAAAAATACAGCTATTTATACAGCAAAAGACTTAAGAATATTTAACAGGAGCAGGTTTCATTTTTCCCTTGTTTTATTATCACACTGTTCACCAAACGCAGCAAACCTTCACCATCTTATCCTGAAGGGTCACCTCTTCACCCTCACATGGAAGAAGTAATCTGATTGGCATGGTGGTATGTTTGAAGCAGGTTCCTTGTGTAGCGCTGGAACTCAGTCACGATGTTTCATCCATTTCATTGGCTGGTTTGCTGCAATAATGCCAAATAATTAGCAACTCTATAAATAGAAGGTAGTTCTGCAAAATCACTCAGTAGGATGTTTGTTCTAATTTGCTATGACCTCAGAGCGCATCAAAAATAAAACTAATAGGCTATAAAGAGTGATATGACCATATTTAGAACTTACCAGATTTAGAACCAACAGATATTTGGAGATGGAAGAGAACTGGATATCAGCTCACGGCTGCTATCCAGGCTACACGCCTTCGTTTGGTAACATCGACACACGAGCTGCTTCATGTTGCTTCCAGGTTGGGAAAGAATGAAAAGATAAACCATTTTCAAGCTTATTCTCTTGCCGGTTGTGCGATTGAACATTGCAGCGGACCACACAGCAAGAACGAACTGTTGTGTGTGACTACTTTTTCGCTTGCGCTTTGTTTAGACCCCCAAAATGGCGGATCGGGACAAAATCCTTTCCACGCCCACCCCCGTGACATCACGTTCCAAAGCCCTACATAACATCTCTGACTACAGGTGTAGAAATGCTGTTTGACTCTTCACCTTCTTCCTCCACACTGAAGCACAATTATTCTGAATCTTGTCAGTGGTTTTTGTTCACAGTTGATACGTATTTAGCTCATCAGATTTCCTGTAGTTCTAACACCTCCACCCACAGGACATGTTAAAGAGCAATGGCTGCAAGTTTCTGACTCTTATTGATATTTGACAAGCAGAGGAAGAAGATTATTTCTGTTCAATGTTTCACTCATTTTATTTTATTTTGCTTTCACTGAACTATTTCAGATGCTTTGAACAAGAGTGAGCTCCAGGATGAACTTCAAGGTAAGCAAACACCAAGTTCTTATATCACAGATATATTTGTAGAACATTTTAACTTAATTTGAATCTTTTTTTCTCTAAAGACACAAAAACCAGCCTGACTCAGTTACAGAGCCGTTATGATGAACTGAGTAAAAACCACAGTCAGCTACAGGAAGAAGTGAAGAAGCTGAAGGAGGAGATAGAAGGTAATAAAGTTTGAATAACTGATAGAAAACATCAGTGTTACACAGTGATAACCTGATTGTGTCTTTGTTTTGAATCCTAAATGTTTGATGCTGTGTAACAGTTTCTCTGTATAAATGTAAGTTTATGAATAAGAGAGAAAACCTGAGTTTAATAATAATAAAAATAATAAACTAAGTGCTGCACATAAGATAACAAGTCATGAAAAGTTTTTTCTTTTTAAAAAGACAATATAAAACAGGCAAAAATTAACCAAAAGCAGTTCTGAGTTTTTTTAAAATCAACTACTGAGTCCACAGTTGTTAATGTTTGGGGGAGAGAGTTCCACAGCTGAGGGGACACAGTGGCAAAAGCTCTACCACCCTGTGCCTCACCCTCTTAATATTTTTCATAGCAAGTAAGCCCTGATCAGATGACCCTAGGGACTTCTGGGGACATAGTGCTGTAGCAGATCAGAGATTTAGGCTGGTGCCAGTCCATGCACAGCTCTGTATGTCAAGATCAGGATCTTAAAATGGCCTCTAAATTCAACAGGAAGTCAGTGTAACCGAGCAACAGTGTCACATGTGAATACTAGGAAGGTTTTGTCAAACGTCTGTCTGCAGCGTTTGCACAACCTGCAGACTGTCCACAGAACCTTTGCTTAGACACATAAACAGCGAGTTACATTAGTCCAACCGTGAAGAAATGCATGCATAACAATCTCCAGCTCAGAGCCACATTTCTTAAATGATTAAAAACAAGACCAAACCAGAGATTTCAATGACCATCCAACGCGAGAGTCGAGTCAAAAGTGACACCTAAATTCCTGATAGAGGATTTAATATAAACAGACAAATGAAGCATTTACAGGGAAAATGACAGGGACCAAAGATTAATGTGATACAACAGGACACAAAATCTGTCTTTAAAACATGTGTTTGACTTTAAGAGAAGTGTCCTGATCGATGGATGAGATTTGGAAGCAGCTGTTACTTTAAATCCACTGAGAACAAAACTTGGTCTGACAGCAGGAGAGCCTGTCAGGATAAAGGAGCTGATCTGGTGATGATAAACAGCAAAGAGGAACAGGTGGGTGTGTTTGTTCATGTCTGTGTGATCTTTGATGGAGTTGACAGTCATCTGTTACTTGTGCTTTTGACCTGCTGTCAGTCTGTGACCTGCTTCCTGTCTCCACTCTGATGGATTTCTTGGATTCTCCATTTTGTTACAGACACTCACATTCAAATGTAAAGTTTTTGCACATTTGACAAATTCGAAGCAAAAATTTAAATTACACAGAAATTGTATAAAATCAGAGCAATCTTCATAATCCAGATTTTTTTTCTGATTACTATATTTTCCACACTATAAGGCGCACTTAAAATCCCTTCATTTTCTCCAAAATCGACAGTCCGCCTTATGTATGAATTCTGGTTGTGCTCACTGACCTCGAACCAATTTTATGTGGTACAGGGCGCACAGAAATCTGTCAAAAAATGTTTTAGTGTGACTTTGGTAAGCTATGAAGGTGCACTGTTTGATGGATTGTTGGAGCATTACGGCTGCCGTAGTCAGGAGCCTCGCGGAGTAATCTGGGTCCAAAACTCCGTCGACTTGAGGTCCCAAAGTCAAACAAACACTGTGGCATCACTGAGAGTTAAAAAGTGTCTAAATTCTTTCATCTTTAATAAAATGATCAGTGTTGCTGCTTTACCAGGTGTAACAATTAAGTTTAACATCCAGGCATCCATGAAAACAGAATTTATTAAATTCAACGGAGTTAGAAGTTAGCAGGGAGTTAGCTCACTAGTTTCCACCTAAACATGATATAGCATGTTCTGACTGAGAGATTTCTGAAAAAATCCAAACGTACAGCTCTGCTATCACTTCCAACATAAATGAAGACAGAAAACTAAACAGCAGTGACGTTTGTAGGGTTACTGAAGTTGGGCTAGCTGGTATATAATGATGTGCTACGTGATCGCTAGCAAAACAGCTACGTTAGCATAACATTAGCACAGTGAAGCTGGAGGATGAACGCTGGACAAAAGTTAACGTGAAGGTTCCTGATGGTCAGGAACAAATGCAATTACATGGGAGGATGATGTAAACGGAACAAACTGCAGTCAGGAGAACAACTGAGATAATCCATCCACAATACCAGGTTAGTCATTAACATACTGCAACAACATGGGAACAGAGCAGCTGCAGAGAATTCAGCATTAATGAATCAATGGTAGGGAAGTGGAGGAAGCAAGAAGAATAAGTTGAGTAAAATATGACTTATCTGACTGTTTTGTTTTCACCTTATAATCTGGTGCGCCTTATGGTGTGAAAAATACGGTAAATCCAACTGAATCAAATGATTTGTTAACACTGATTCCACTGCAACACTGACTGAGCTACAGGAGGAGCTGATATTCATTGATTCTTTGGCTCTTTCTGATTTCTGCACAATGGAAGAAAAGTTTCATCACAGTTATTCTTCCTTCAGACATGTTCACAAGATGCTGTCACTACAACAGAAGTGCTGAATTATGACTGGAGACAATATTTGTGTCTCTTCTCAAACAGGAATTTGTCAGTAAATTTGGAGGAGAGTCCTGGATTGGTCTGAGATCCAGACAGACATCAGGAGGATATGAATGGGAATGGGTGGACGGATCAGCGCTGACACAAACGTGAGACATTAGTTTGTTTCTATTCCAGAGTTATTATTTAGCAGTGAAACATGGATGTTTTGGAAGATAGATCAGCAATACATGAGCTGAGCTATTTTCCAACAGCCCCACAAACTGAATGTAAAGAAAAGCAGAAATCCTCCTTTGAATGAACAGCTGTGCTTGAACTCTCTTCATCTGCAGTCTGTGATGACGTTCAGTTACAACAAGTCAGTTTGAAGGAATCAGCATTGAAACATGTTCAAAGCAGCGACCGACACATTTCACTTTGTTCAATTTGTCTTCATGTTTTTGTGCTGTAATGTTACAGAACAAAAAGTGTTTCAGAGAATTCCTGTCTCTTCTTCTTTGGTGTTTGTAAAACTTCAGAACATATGAAGGAAGAAGCTTCAGTAAATATGACCTGATAGACACACATTTCAAAGTGATGTCTGTAAACAGCTGACAAAACAGTTTCAAACAGCAGAAAGTCAGCTCTGACTTCTTTTTATTCTCCATTTTTACAGCAGGAAGATTTCATATTCATCAAAGCTTGAAAGCTGTTTTAGTGTGCATGATGATTCTCAGAGAAAAGTCTAAAGGAGGGAAAGTGGGCGAGAAACCTGGGAAAGAAATACAGCAAATATTGGAAATATTCCAAAAGAGACGCATATTTATATGAATGTGACAATAGTTATGAGTTTAGTCCAGTTTCATATCAGATTTGATCTCTCTGACAGGTTCTGGGCAGAAGGATGGTCAGATCCTTATTCTGGATACCGTGGAGTCTGCTGTGACAATAATAGGAAATGGACGGGGTCATATTATTCTTTTTCAAAGACCTTCATCTGTGAGAAATGAGTTTGGTGCTTTGATGTAAATGTTTGAATAATCCAACCAAAGACACCTCACTATGAAATGTCCTGCATGAGCCTCAGACTCAGCTTACAGTCTTTACTTGTTCATTCTGCATCATATATTGATTACATATATTGTCCCTCTGTGCTCTGTGCTGTACAGTAAGGTTGGAAGTCATCCACACAAAACCTTGAAGTACTTCATTACTCTGTAGTTCCAGCAAATTGTTCTAATAAAAGTCAAAGTGCAGCTTGTCTTTACTTTGCTTTACTTGGTTTATTCATCAGCCTGTTGGTCCTAAAACTTCAGTAAATGTCTTCTTCAGTTTCTCTCAAACGGCTGAAAGTTGCTGCTTCTTTTTATAGTTACAAATTAGGAACTTTAAAACAGATTGAAATGCAGAAAAAGCATGTTTGGCAAATTTGAATTGTGTGAATTAGTGAAGAATATTGATTTCTGATGCAATAGTAAAGTAATCATGTTGAAATCTGGGCCTACACCCTCATGTAATACCACTTTGAACCACAAGATGGTACAGTAAGGCAGCATCTAGTCTGAACTGAGCTCAAATTTGTACTGTTGCTTTTGCACTACAGCAAACTCTGGTTTTGTGCTGCCCGAACAGTTTTATGTAATATTGGCATGAAATATTAATACTGACAGGAATGGAAGCAATGTCAGATTTAAAAAGCCTGAACTCTTAAATGTACCCCTACATTTAAAATAGATAAATAATACAATAAAAATGGCAATTAACATAAATGGTATTTTGTTGAGTCAAGTCTGTGTCTTAGATCAGTGGTTCTCAAACTTTTCACAATAAATACCCCCTCGTAAAATATGGCTCTTGAAGTACCACCCTTATGACCGACATTAAAGTACAGTAGTGTAGGTCTATTTAACACCATATACTGCTTACACCAGACAATTGTATTTCTCATAAGAGTGTTATTTATTTTAACTGTGATAAACAGGATGTGACAACTCATAATGATAACAACTGTACTGCATTAAAACATTCACAGCAGGTGGGATGTCCGGTCTTTAGGTGATGACCTATGAACCCTGCTACTGGGTTCAAACTACTCTGAATTCATCAAGGCTTCTTTTTTTTTTAACAGATTTTAATGCTTTGTATCTTGTTTAATTTAATCTGAACAAGCCCCTAAAAACAATCAGTGATCACTGTTGGCCTCTCTCGGTTTTACCACTGTTCATTTTAAAGCTCAGTTTTTAAAACTACAGCCGAGCCCATGTAGCAGTGTATTGATGACTAACCTCGTATTATGGATGGAAGTTTGGTCCGTTTACAGCATCCTGCCATGTCATTGCATTTGTCCCTAACCATCAGTTACTGAGTGGAAAAAGTTGGCGTTCATCCTGAACACGGTATATTATTTAATCTTAAACATTTGGAGACTCCCCACATACCACTAGAGGGAGCCCATGTATGGCCAGTGGTACATGTACAACAGTTTGAGCACCACTGTCTTAGATGATACAATGAATATACTGGGCATGTATCTGTTACTTTCTGATGTGGGTGTAGTGATTTTTTGTCAATAATCTAAATCTAAACTCTTGATCAAATACAAAATGCACTAATGTAAAGGAATGTACACAGAAAAGGTTAATCAGCAGCTTATCTAGGTTCAGATCGCAGAGGGGTCTCTTCTTTCAGGTGACACAGAGGTGATACCAAGCCAGCTCAGGATTTCGGTTACATCCACACTAGCCCGGATAGATTTAAAAACGGCGTTTTTCTCTGAAAATGCTCCGCGTCCACACCAGTGTTTTCAGTGTTTTCACAGAGTTGTGCGTCCATATTGAAACGGCCCAAAACACTTACGTTCCAGTCCTGCACATGTGTGAGACACAAGAAGATTCAAACTGCCTCATTTCTGTCTGCCATTTACTTACCCTCCGGCTCTTTGAAACATCATGGCCATCAATCTATGAAGGAAGCTAATTTCTGCCACATATATGCACAGCCTCACTCTTTCCGGCTGTTTGCTGATCTCCAGTTCAAATCACTCCTCAAACAGGCCTACCTTTATCTATATGATCACGCACTGTCACACTGTTTGATTTGATGTAAAAGCTCGAGTAGGAAAAGTGCCATATGACCTCTGGTTTTTGTGAAGAAAGTGAAATTTTTCAAACTGCATGAGGAAGTAAACACCAATGGCATGAAACACAGATTTAAAATGAGTTGAGGGCATTCTTCAGTTGGCCACTAGCTGAAAGAATCTCCTTTGTCTCACTGAAGCTCTGTTAGACATGTGAGGTGTTCCCGTGTTGGAAAAACTCTGAAATTGGTGTGCTTCTGTCTATTCACAGTATGTACTAATTCAAGACAAAGGTATTCTTGTTTGTACATGTATGTATTTCTGTTAGTTTCAAAGTTCCGTGTTGCAACAGCCAGTAAAAATGACAGACAATGTTTGTTTGTTTTTTATTTGACATGTGCTCTCACTCAAAGGTCTGCGAACCACATTGTAAAGTACAATGAAGTTAGCCTCTCTGTGTTTGTGGTTTGGTCTGCTGCTACTTCCTGTTTGATGCTGATGATTAAAACCTGCCTGACTGACAGAAACAGACAGTGAAGCTGCTCAAATACTTCACCCACCAAGATGTCTGCAGACAGTCAGACTGCAGCCGATTTTAGAGTGAAATACAGCAGAAGGATCGACAGTGATGGACGAGAGCAAGAGCACAGTGAGGTTGAGATGCTAGATGATGGAGAACAACATCCTGATGTTGGGCTGCAGGCAGCTGGTAAGCAGGAATAAATAAACTATTGTACTATTGCAAGGTCTTGACCTCACAAAACAAAGTGCCTTGAGCCAACTGTTGTTGCGATTCTGCGCTATATAAATAAAACTGAATATGAGGGAATTTAAGTTGGTTTAATATGTTTAAAAAACTGTTCAGTCGTCAAAAAATTACAGAAAAGGAGGGAAGTTCCACAAGACTCTTATCTGACAGATCCGAGGCAAAGGTAGAAATATTAAAAACAAGGAAGTCTTCTTAGACACTGTGTGGTGCAAGTGAAACCACAGGAAACAACTCGAGAGTGGTCTTCATGTCTACAGAGCTAATTGTATTTTTAAGCTTATTTTCGACCATACTGAAGATATACTGGCCTTTTTCTGGCCCACATGCTCTAAGAATCACCTAGAAATATTTCTCCTTCTCAAACACTGTTCTTTTTTCTATATGTTAAACATTCTCCTGTAAATATGAGACTAACATGATGAACTTGTTCAACTCATTCTCAAGATGAGTGCAGTCTGATTACGACGTATTAATTAAAAATAATACAATTATTAAATCTCAATTTTGTCTCTGTAGAATTAAACATCCAGATGAGCTTTTAGCTGTGAAAAGAAGATGGTTCAGAGCTTTTGAAGTGAACTTGGCTGCTGTATCTTTTGATTCTGTCTGGAATCACCACACGATGTGAGTAATTTTATTAAAATATAGCCTGGTGGATGTAATATTTTACAGATTAGATGTTGATGTAGACTTGCTTTTGTTTGGCTCCTATTCTTATTCATATTTTAGTTAGAAACAGTCACCTGTTCCCCCTCTACACGGGAAATGGGTGATATTTGACACTACTGGTCATATTTGACCAGTAGTGTCAAATATGACCAGTAGTGTTTTATTGTTTATTTATTATTGTTTTCTTTTCTTTTATTGTTTTTAAATAGAAAGGTCTGCAAGAAGAAGAATGAAAAGGAAAGTTTTCAGCCTTCATTAGTAAAGTAATCAATGCTGATCCCAAATGTAACTTTATTTAAGGCATATGTGATGAAAGCTATGACACAGTTTCTCTATAAGGCAAAACAGTGTTGCCCTTTAAAAAGCATTTCCTGGTTTGTATGCACCGTGAGAGTGAGGTGTGAATGTGTTTTTCCTCTCTTCTAAGAGCTCCTCTTTGTTGAACAATGAAAAATAATTTATTCTTGCCTCGCAAATTGTTTGATAGTCTAATGGGCTTTACAAATATAAAGAAAAGGGAATTCTCCGTCTAGCGTTCAGCACACTGGAGGTTATCACTCATATTAATCACATTCATTTATAGGCCTGTGTTTCTTTGCATGCTGTCACTTCCTCAAAGCCATTTCCTGTCTGAAACAGATAAGAAACAGAAAGCCAGCA